CTACGAAATATTTTGTCACAAATGACCTGACCCGGGAGAATTCGTGGCTAAGTTCGCGCATGCGCAGACTAACTACGAACTGGCTTATTCTGTAAATGTACAGATTGTCATTACAGCCATAGGCCTATATAGTTTCATGTAGGATTCATGTACATGGAGGTGCAAATGAAAACGTTCTCCACTTCTATTACTGTGCCATTTGTATATGACCTTATGCAATTCTCTGCATCTTTCACATGCTCAAGTAGTTATATATGTTTACATCTTGTTTTCAGAGTAAACTCTCTACACAAGAGCTAGTCCATATGGGTATACAAATTATACGGGGAGTGCAATACCTGCACAAAAAGAAGATCATTCATAAAGACCTTGCTACTAGGAACTGTGTGTAAGTATCTGTTAACTGAAGCTAAACCAATGGCATAGGGGATTAGTAGAAAGAATTGGTAAGAAAGGAAAAATCAAGTAGAATGTAAGTGAATGGGTTACTTTAATAGCATATATGTAATATGGACAGGTCATAGAATAGGGTGGTCCAGAAGGGAGAGACCCACAGACAAACATGCATGCATGCACAGATAGAAAGATAGACATATAAAAAGGGGATGGAAGGAAAAAGGGTAGGGAAGAAAATGAAGTAGGAAAAAGAAGAAACTTCGTTTCGATAGTTTTTTCCACTATGCCTTTAGTAATAGATCTTTGTGACTTGCTATGGCATTGCTATATTAAGGTAATAAAATCAATAATAAACTTTTATCCTAGGGTTGGTCAAGATCTGAATGTAAAAATCACCGAAAAAGCTCTCTCGCGGGACCTGTTTCCCAATGACTACCACTGCTTAGGTGACAACGAAAACAGGCCAGTGAAGTGGTTAGCCATCGAAAGCCTCATTGATAAGCGTTTTTCACCTGCTAGTGATGTGGTAAGATGGAAACAACTATGGTAGTCAAACTGATATTATCATACATTGCTTTTGTTACGAGAATTTTGCTTTGCATACTCTTTGTGGTAACTGAGAAATATCCAAGATGTGATTTTTACATGAAAATTAAAGATTTCTGTTGTCACATAATTAGGTGGTAGAACTTTTATTAAATTTTTTGACTTGAGCATAAAGATACATCTCAACTATACATAAAATGTGATTCATTTGATTCATTTGTGAATAAACGTTTACTCTTCATTAGAGCAATACCCATGCAAAAGCTTGAGTGTATCCTTAAATTTACACACTGCTCACGATATACCATATTTTAACCGCGCATTTGTTATGTTGACACTAATTCTTATTTATGTGCAAGTATCAGTTGTCTCTATGTAAAATATATATGGCGTGACATTTGTAGCCCAAACAATTTATCTTTATGTTTTTACAACACTGTCATAATGTATTTTAATTAACAGAAGACTTGTTGAGTTGACAATCTATTAGCATCATTTCTAAATTGATACATTTGCTAAAGGTTTCCAGAGTTACCAAAAATTGCATGCCACACTGTGATCTTATACATGTTAACCTCTGCAGTGGGCATTTGGTGTATTGCTGTGGGAGTTGATGACCCTTGGTCAGCAGCCATATCCTGATGTCGACCCGTTCGAGATGGCACAGTACCTCAGAGAGGGTTACAGGTTATCTCAGCCAATCAACTGTCCAGATGAACTGTAAGTCATGCTCTATACCACACCACACTTAGTAAGTTGCCACGAACATCGGTGAGTGATGTATTCTTGTCACTAATTTCTGTCAGTGCCACTTCCATTGGGCAAGTCGGTTCGTGGTTCAAGCAATTCCTGTGTAAAATGATGATCTCACATTTTCCAAACCGTTTTTATATTTTCTCAACCGTTCTGATACTTACTGGTACGCCTTGCATAACCCCAAGTTTATATAGTAAGTCATACTAGACTTACTAGACATAGACTTACATACTAGTACTTGTCATAAAAGACTCACACATCATTCTTTTCACCAATATAAGCACCGATCTGCATATCAAACGAGATGCATGTTTGCATAATTATTTTAATATCACCAGCATATGATTCTTGCTCCCATGAGTTGGCATTGACCGGCACTTCGTCTCTGCACTATGCTACCTTTCTCTATATGTCGAGATAGGGTACTAGTCTAGAGAAATTTATGTCATATAAACAAATGCACTTGTTTTGTGGCAGCAATTTCATATTTTATTTTCGGGAATCTCGAGAATGCAGGCGCTGCAAGTTTGCTGTTCGTTTGCTGTTTGTTTGTTGTTTTATAGCTTCTAGCAGCACAAACTCATAGTAATTTTCGTGCTGAAGTAATTTGTGCCCTAACAGGTGAAACCTAATTTGGCTACACATATTAATGCTGAGAGGGTCTATGTCCCCCAGGGTACTGCGGGAACGTACCCTGGTAGTATCTAATATGCCGGACCGTACCTCGTCTACTCCACTAACGAGTCTAGGGAGTCGCCTATGCCTACTCCCTAACCCTAACCCTAACCCTAACCCTAACCATATCAGATAGTTACCAGGGTACGTTCCGGCAGTACCCTGGGGGGACATAGACCCTATGAGCCATATTAATAGATCATTTTATTTGAGAGAGAATCATTTTAAATTTGTGCATATAACCATCGACCACCGTTGGTCAATGACAACTTTGTATTAAATTATTTTGTGTAATAACTTATTAGCGATACTACTCGTTACTTGCACATCTCTAATATGTTGTTGTGTAAACACATATATGACCCTGTTTCAGGTTTGCTGTCATGGCATGCTGCTGGGCTTTGTGTCCGGATGACCGTCCAAAGTTCACCCAGCTGCTCCAGTGTCTGCAAGACTTCTATGCACATTTAGGCAGATATATCTAATATGGCTTGATCCATATTATCTTGATATTATGCTGTTAGCGTGAACTGGTAGAAGCACTTACCGGGCAGTCGTAATTAACGCGCAGGAGGCTATCGTGATAGTGGCTAAATTTATTTCTTCGTTAGTCACTTGTCCGTCATAATGATTTACAGTTTTGCACCCTTCAGCATTGAATGCTGATGTATAAGAGGATAGCATATTATGTTGTGCATGTACGGATGCAGCCTTCTGTGCTACACCTCCCTTTGCAGAGGTTAAGAGTGAGCCATAACAAACCAACTTGTGCATGCATACTACAAGACACATCGATATGCCTTGGTCATGTTTTCGAGTAACTGGGTGTGTGGCCGTGGTTGCTCCCTCTGTTGCTGCCAACTTTTCGACTACACTCACAAACCTCCCATACAAGCTTACAGCTGAAGCTGGTGTTATTTGTAGTCAGGTGTGACAGCTGACAGAACTTATTAGCAGTGCTGACAATGCCTGGCTGTAAGTAAAGTAGATGAGAGCTTGCATGGTTTTGTGGCATCTGTTCAGCAAATACCTTGTGGTGCACTCCTTAAATGATTAGTGTATTTCAGCACCTGTGTGACTGTGAGTGTAGTTTTAAGGAGTGGGACTCTTGTCATTTAATGTGGCCTGTATTGTTTTAAAAATTGTGTGCTAAACGTCTTGGAAATCGTCGAGATGCACTAGTAACTGAAGGAAATGTTGACGATTGTTAGTCTGATCCTCTAGTGGAACACTCATCTGCCAGTAGTTTTTGCCAGCTAGATACAAGCCTAAAATATTTGTCGTAAGTAAATTAGTAGTAGTAATTGAATCAGCCTTTAGTAATCGAGACAATTGACTAATAACATCTAGACACGACACGCGGGATACAATATCTGTCACCGCAGATACAATACTGCCACCTGGCATTAGATGTGTTCTCTTGCCATAATTCTAATTTATTGTTACTAATGAAAGATTCTCTGATATCAGGCATTATCTTTAATTGTGAGTGTATTGTTAACAATAACTTTCAGACAAATTCACTAAAAGTTATGAACCTTAGCTAAGAATTAAAGTTAAGTAAAATAAAAACAAGGAAACCCTGCTTTTTATGATTTTATGCATTTAAATTAAATGATCAAAATTTGGGCAGGTAGACGCAGGTACAGCCTCAGTAATACTAATATATATATATATATATATATATATATATATATATATATACATATACATAGATAGATAGAAAGATATATAATATATATATCAAGAGTAGATAATAGGAGACTATTAGTGTTACTATATAGTATATGTATATTATATGTGCTTTATAGATATAACACCTATTTAGTATTGCTGAGGATGTACCTGTATGCTGCATGTAACTGTCCAAATTCCTATTTAAAAGTCGTTCCATTTTCTAAAGTCGTTATAGACAAAACATTCATTTATTAAAAATAATCACTGATGTTACAGCAACATTGATTATTAACAACTAAAGTTCTATCAGAAGAATGCGCCTAACATAGGCCGGCATCACCGTATACCTGGTAACATAACATCCAGTGAAGCACCCCGTCTTGATATTGTTATTTTACGTCGAGACTAACTAATTTATCTTAACTGGAAGGTGGCATTGCCAAAATTTCAATGTTTGCCGTATAATGATTATAAGGAGACAATAATTCAATACTCAATATCTGTTTTAGATAGTTGACATTTTTATTGATTGTAGTCTTTTAGGCTAATAATTGATGTATTTTTGCATATAGAGGTAACAGACATTAGATTAATATTAAATGTTATGCCTAATAGCTTAATACATTGCTAAGTATATCGAATTTTGCACCCTATAGAATCTTATAAAAACCAAACAGGGGTGATGCAAATGTAATTCGTAAGTTAATGGGTAAAGAGTCTACTCATTGTGAATGGTGCATGCAGTCAGTGTAAATTTAAAAATATATAATTTAGACAATTTAAATATCTGTAGGTACTCCGCGTAATATATTAACAAAGTTAATGCTGCGTCGAAGCATTTGTATATTGATTGAGCTGTCCCCTGCCTCGCAAGCAGTAGTCTGTGCTAGGCTATTGATCGAAAACTAATATTGTTATAGTGATACTATGAGTGCTATACAGTTGCAGAGTGTGTGTTCTCTATGTCAGTGTGCCGTGTGCTTGCACATCACATACAATGAAATTGGTGGATCTTGTGTATTATCGCCAATTTAATGCCATTATGACGAGTGTAAATTTCCGGGATTCTTTAGAAGTTAGGATTCGTTTCCATTACCAGTAACTTTTGCAGGACAACTAACAATTACCAAGATTCATATTGCTGTCCTGCTATAATACCTGTAAATATTTCTGATGTCCTTTGTAGATTAGTCATATGTGCTTCTCTTTTTTGAGTCATTTGTTGATAGGGTTCGTTTGCTTGCAAATGTTCAGTTGTGTACTAGTAAAAGTCAATTTACTGTATTTGTATATTCGCTGGAATTAACGCGCATGTGCATGCACGTATGCACGTTCACGTACATCGTGTACTGGCTAAAATGTCTTCCTAAATAACTCCACTACTTCTATAACTAGGTAGTTTGCTGTGCAAATATTCAGATCATGTGGCTGTACGTGTTTCCTGTATCTATCACATCCCGTATGCTGTAAAACGGTATTGTAATAACATGTAAGGTGCTTTTCTTAAATGTATAAAGTAGAGAGAACTGGTTGTCTTACCAAATGTGTATTATATAGTATTACATACTTGCAAATAATGGATAGGATAACCTTTTAAGTCTAATTTAAATTTATGAACTAGGTTTGTGCAAGAGACACTCGCATAGGAGGAAGATAAGTTTGACACGGGCAATTTTTTTTTTAATTACAATTTTGACCGTTTTTACTTTTTTGGAAATTGTTTAAGAAGTTTCAAAACAACTTCAAATGTGTTCATGTTCGTCTTGTTATAATATTGTTTCAGAAATTTAAAGGAAATTCACTAATCCTGTTCAAAAAGTTGACTTACTTCATCACACTGTCTACATTGTATAACTATTACTATTGTGAAATATATATAACTACTCATTTTATTATTGATTTTTGCGGTATTGATATTTGAGGTCTGAGGTTGAGGTTTGAGGTTTGAGGTATAACATTTTGAGATATTTGAGGTTTGAGGTATAACATTTGCTTCAGCCTTTTGCGGTCTGATGCGCAACTTCTGACGATTACGTCTCATTACTGTTCTTTCTTGGATGACAACCGCATATATAAACGAGATATGCATATATAGAACAGAAATACATTTAATGTAATATGGATTAATAATAATAACATGTATTAAAAACAAATTCGCGCGCCTGTGCGTGCGAGCGTGCGTGTACGGGTGCCTATGAAAACGCGTCTAGGCGCAGAAAGTACGGTGTTGATAGCGGAGCACCCAATACGAGAAATGCGTTGACAGAAACGCATCGCGGCTATGAGAGAACCTACGATAGCAGGAACTTGAGTATTCGCTATCACAGGGCTGCTTCCGGGGTGGGGGGGGGACTCCATATATATTGCATGGTAGGTATGTGCCGCGGGAGAGACCCCCCTTTTTCACCCTAAACTTCCGTTCCAGTGCATCGCATTTTTAACTAGACAGAGGGCACTCACGGAGAGTGCATACCTCCGCGAGCATGTAACATGTATGTG